CCGCGTGTCTTCTTGCTCGGCGACTCCGTATCATCAGTGTTCACAGCCCTGACACGGTTGTAATCATCCTCAGTGGCCCAGACGGAATTATCGCCGGGATTCAGTTTCCGAATCTCCGGCGGAGGGTCGTTGGTGGGTATCACGTGAACTGCATCGCTGCCGGAATCTCTCCGGTGACTCATCACGTCGACCAAGAAACCCTCTAAACCCTAATTTAGTAAAACATAAAGCTCAAATCTTTGATTATCGACAAGAATAATCAGAGGAAAAAAGTTGAAGAATTTCGTGAGCTCCAGAGATGGATGATTTAGAAACACAAATAAATTTGAAGAAGTTGAAAGAGATAGAGAGAGTAGCTGATGAAGAAGAGGAAGTAGAAAATACTACTCTAGAAGAAAGCCACTCAAAATCTTACTAGTAGCATTTATAGAAGAAGGATTAGAAGGTGATTAGTGTAAATTTAATGGAAGCAGAAAAATAAAATAAAGAGAATGTTCTGAAAGCGAATAATACCAATCTCGAATTAAATATTGTTCATTTAACCCATTTGGATTGGTTGTAGTAAACTAAACTTTGATTAGAATATTACTGTTTTAATTAAAGCCGAGTTAATTTTGATTTACAGATATATTTGCCGAAATTAAACACAAATGTAAAATGAAAGATGTGATAAAGTGTCACAAGTGTGAGATTTGAAAGTGAGATATTTAAGGAAATCATTAATTTTGTAAAATCGAGCGAGTTAACTAGTGGTACGATTAGGACTTCAACTAGCTTTTGTTAGTATGGGGAAGAATCATGCGCAATGAAAGTGATAATAAAGTGCTTTGTGTCTCATTTTGTACAAAGATGATTAATTTATCTTTGAGAAGTAGAGCTTCTCAGTTTGTACATAATCTCATTTATTATCACAATCAAACTGATCTTTGTGATTGAACCTGACAATCTGGCTCTCTTTTGATAAAGGGTTTTGTAACGAATTTGCAACCATCTCAGGAAGAAGCTGGTTCGACATTCGTGTCCCACCGGCTGCTGATTCTGAAGCACTAGAAAGACGTTTGGTGGAGGAATGGGCACCTCTTGCCTGGAACATGTCCTTTGAGGTACTTTTCTTTGTATCATGGCCACATTAAGAGAGTGGTGTCTGAAGGTTTCTCTCGGTATGTCAGCTGTGGCGGTTCAACTAGAATCTTTCAGGGAAGCAATTACTACCGCAAAAGATGATTCAAATCCATGGTGGGTACTCTTAGAAATGCTGTGAATGAAGCTAGAGGGAAGACTAGTGAGCCTGTGATTTACCCTGAGCTTAAAAAACACATGATCCTCCCACAATCTCAGATTTTTAGTAACTATCCTCCACTGGGAAGGTCTTCTTCAAGTCAAGAGGCCAAAACAATTTTCTCGTTAGGTATCACAGAGAATCCTTCATTTAAGCAAGTGCTTGACATGCTTACACGCATATATAGGAGGGTAGAAGCCTGAGAGCTCACCTGAGTCACAGGAGCAAGTCCACATTTCCGGACACTCGAGAGACTGAAATGGGTCAGGGCCACCATCAGAAGAACCAAAAGCGTTAGCAAGCTCAACGACCGCACAGACTGTGATTACAAATCGAGGTTTCTGACTGAGCTCAAAGTCAAGAGGGGCAGGTGAAGATGAAGTTATATAAAGCAAGGAAGTGGTACTTAAATTGGATTTCACACTTGAACAACTTCGATCATAGTGCATCCTCCATGAAATCACATCCATCTCCTTCATCCAGGTGGTAGATGAAGTGCATCGTACAAACTGCCGCGCTTGCAAAAAAGAGCGCATAGCTGAGTATAAAGTCTTGATCATATTATAACAGAGCCAACCTAGTACAAGTCCTCAAGATTCTAGCTAGCCAAGACCTGATCAGCAGAGAAGCCAGCTTTCTATCCCTTTCAAAAGATCCAAGCTCTAATAATTATCCCAGAAAAGCCACCAATGCTCAAGTTCTAAATTATCACATGACCTCACTGAACAGGCAAAGGGAGCCCTTGCGGGTCAGCCATTGTGGAAGTCATTGTCAATAAGAGCATTCATAACATAGAAGTCAGCATCCAGGTCCTCCATAATCTCACAGTGAAGCATTATGATATCAACCAGCAAGTTTCAGGCTTTCAACACAAAAGAGTTATGTGTCGATTTACTAAATTGGTATACATTTAGAGTAACTGGTAATAAAAAAAAGCTATAGTTATGTGTCTTTAATGACATTATACTTGATTAGCTCATCCTCATGAAACCTGTTACTTCTGACAAGCCTCTCAAGGAAGAACCCATTGTCCAGGGAAGAGCTGCATCACAGTCTTTCCTAGGATCCAGTCCATCTCAGAACTTGACAAGGATGCTTGTTTTGCAATAATGCTCACAGCTTCTTTGGCTTCTTTGTATCCACATTCAAGAACAACAAATGGGAAGTCACTGCAGCAAACGGAGAAGTAGCCAACCCATATATGATCATGTATTGATTGGTTGAAATAAAAGTTTTTTTTTTTATGGTGTTTTGGTTAGGAAAGCAAGGTAAAGTTTACCTGCCCCACATGACACGATTCGCCCCGAAATTGGACACAACTTGAGATAGGAGAGGCGATAGGTCCTGATACGGGAAGCCGGTTCTTGATATCCTGAATAGAGCACTGAATTTCACATATACCTGTTTGTTTCAATATTCTTCCCTCAGTCTCATCAGATGTGTGAGATAGTGATAATTCAAAATCGAAAAGTAACGTTTATCCTTTTTTCACCTGTGGGAATCTAGAGAGCTTCATGAGTTGAGTATAAGCAAGCTTAGCCTCACCATTTCTGCAGGTTGATGAAACCACGAATAATATTATAATATGTTCTTTAGGACTTGCAGGGGAATGGATTATTTCTCAGAATAGCGAAGAACTGCTCACTCTGGTACTTTGCAGAATCCAGCGTGATCTAGTAAAACAACTGTCTTTGGAAATTCTGTGCACAGTTCCTCAATTTCTGCAATGTGCAGATCCAAACCCTGAATAAAATAAACCAAAACTTTAAAAGAGAGAGCTTGACGTAAACCACACAACTTTGGAACACAAAAAGGTCAAAATACTACCATACCTTCATGCACATGAAGCCAACTGGCACACCAAGCTCCCCTGCTTTAGAGAACATGGCTTTACCAACAGCATTTGTCATCTGTGTTTCGAAAATCATTGGCAATCCAAACAGTACAGTAGAAACTTGACCAAGGTCATTGGAATGATCAGATTGGTACCTTCTGACCTGACGGCCACAGATAGGGATTAAACCGAACAGCACGGTAATTACTCTACAATAACAGATTAAATCTCAGAGAAATGTGATGCATATAAGATATTTTGAGATGCTTTGAGAAACAGCTATGGGAAAGACCTCTAGAACAAGATTCTCAAGCTGCTTAATTCCACTGCCATCTTCTGCAGGATTTGCAAGGCAACAGCCGACAAACTTCAATGGGTATTTCTTCAGAACGCTGTCAATAAGAAACTAAAAACATCTTACGAAGAAGCTTGGATTGAATATATGAAACCGCATGTAATCTAAGTCTGCCTAGATTGGAGAATCAGTAAAAAAATTTGAACTTTCACACAGAACCGAGACCAACCTTGACCCCAATAATGCATCCCATAGTCATCTACTCACAAACGGGAAGTGAGGCAGATACAACATAACTAAAATGAAATAAGAGAAGACTAATGTTTAATTTGGTGTACGATCTTGATTCCATCCAATGTTTAGACAAAGTTAACTCGTAATTTCTTAAGTTTTAAAAGAGCTACAATATCTTTTGTTAAGACACACAGAAAATGCAGATTCGGGTATAAGAAAAAAGATGAGACCTTGTTACTAAAGAATGATCAAACTTGTGATTGATGGGTTGCACAATGAGAGCTCCATCTACTCTTGCCTCTTCCATGTTCTAAGTTAACAAGAAAACAGTAAACAGAGGATTGACACAATAAGCATCAAAGAAGAAGAAAAATAAAAAATTTCACAAAACCCATGATAGTTTGAGTTAAAACCTTGAGCAAGAAATCGACATCACCAGTTAATGTAGGTTCTTGGCCGGGAAAATAAGGATAAGTCACTGCCTGAAAACACATATTGAGGGATCCATCAGATCAGTCATCATCATCGTAGTAGAGTCAGTTTTAGTTCCAAAGTATATCGAATTCATTTGGCATTTGCTTAATTGCTTAAAACCTAGTGATCCAAATTACCCACAAATTGGAGAGTTTCAATATATAACCCTCATCCTATAAACTGTAACCCTAGCTAAAGAAATGAAATTGTAAGAGCACACGACCTCTTGAGGAGAAGCCCAAATGTGGAGATGAGAATCGATGACTCTGGAGGTAGACGACGTCGTCGTTTCTTGGTCAGAACCAACAATAGCCGCCATTTTCACCGTCCTGAAGAATGCTATCACGGAACCGATCGGTTTGCTTCGTCGGAACCGTACGGAAGACGTTAGAGGATGACTGGAAAACGCTAAAGGATTTGTTAATCTCAGAGTCACTGCCATATCCACCCGACCCGAGGTTATCAATTCATGTGGTGCCATTTATTTTTATTATTAGGTAAAAAATGTAAAAATATAATTGACAGTGGTAAATAAAATTTAAACATGCTGAC